TTTTTTTTTTTTTTTTTTTTTTTTTTTTTTTTTTTTTTGAACTCCCAACCCTTCGATTCTGGGGGGCATCAGTCCGGTTGCTTCTCACCGGCAAGCAAAGTTTTTTGAAACAAGCAGCGGGGGGGGATAAGACAGAAAAGATAGTCAGCGTACCCTTGTGGCCCGAGCCGCCTATCCAAGGGGGGGGGCTGCTCCAGGACCACCCGCTCCCACCCTTTGGCCTGGCCTTAGGGATGGCCATGTTTGTTTTGCCCATTCGGAAGTCAATCGTGACTGAAACGTACCTACCCCCAAACAAAAACTAGAATCTCTACATCAACAGAAAGACATAACAGAAGAAATCAAACAATTCTGTGAAAACCTAGGCTACTTGGGGGGCTAGCCCAGCCATGCAGCCAGGGCACGTCCCCTGGGGGTCACCTGGACGGGCCACCCCGTGCAGGCAAAAATCAGTGCTTTTCTTTTTCTCCTTTTTTTTGGGGGGGGGTGGGGGTTTTCCGTGCATGCCCAGAGGAGGCCAAATCCGGCCTCCTTTCGTTTTTCAAGTGTTGGCTGTCAAGGGGGGGTTAGGGGCCCTAGGGGGGCATTAATTTGCAAGGAAAATAAGCAACAGCGAGATGGCAAATCCAGATTACACCATCACATTGAAAGCCAAATAGTCACACTGTGTCCAGAGAGCAGCATTGCACCAATAGTACACCAATGGAGGCTCGTGGTACTGAAAACCAATGTCAAGGAGAGCTTTCTCTCTCCGCCAACAACACAAGAGTCCAGTCCCATCACACTCCTACTTGGCGCTCAGCGCCCAGCCTACTCCTACACAGCTAAGATCGACCTACTAATAGACAATGCAACTGTTGACATCAGCGGCAACCCGAAGTACTTGAAGATGTCGCCCAAATGCAGACCCTCGCCAATACAAGGTATGTGCCCTCACATCATCATCATCATCATCCTTCGCCCTTCCCTGACTTTACGCCCATGTCTTCCTCCCTTACACCCGAAGACCACTCATGCGCCTCACTGTAGTCCAAGCCCACCAGCTATGGTGGCTGGGCTATGGCGCTGCCCTCAGCAGCGCCCTGCTTCCCTGCACGACCGCACGTGCCGCACCTCGCCTCTCAGCGCCAGCAGCAGCCCACGAGCATTTGCTCCAGCAGCGCTGCCGCTAGCATGTGAGTGCCTGGATGAGGCTGCCAGGGGAGAGCTCTTTCCTTTATGGAAAATGCTGGCCTGCTCGCGCTGCCTGGCTGGCCTGGCCTGGGCCCAGAAGCTTCCGGAAGCCCCAGGATGCTGCGTGCTACTTTTGCAGCTACTGGGCCTCTGTTGGTTGGGCCTCCCAACTGTCAGTGTATGGGGCTGCTTTACTCGTCCAGG